AGCCCATGACTAAACTAACTTTAATTGGAACTTTTTCCAGTTGCAATTTCAGTAAAACGCAGAACGGGTTTCTCGCTAAACGCAACCGGACCTCATTAAAAAACCTTCATTTCATCGTCCAAACTTGGAGAACGCCCATTGGCTATTAAAAAAGATAACTTCGAAGCCAAGAAGCTAGACTTAAACTATTACTTTATTATTTACCAAATGAAATTTGTTCATAGTACATATACGATATATCTTTTGGTATTAATTCGCCATCAGCGATGTCAATAACGATCAGCAATGTCAACATATCATCAATAAATATTATAGATATACGCTCTTTCTTTGAAATCTTTCCGGTGATCATTATTCAAAACCGATCATCACATAACTAATTTATCCTATGACAAGTGAGGTTTCACAAGTGAAGTTTTCAGGACACCCTGCATATTCAGGTTTGTTTTCTAAGCGTCCTCATTATTTTCGAGAAATCCATCATCATTTTGGCTAAGAAAAATTCTACGGTCTGCTGGATCTATTTTGACAGTTTTGCTTTAGCAAGATATTCTAACAAATTGACTGTTTCTACACTGAATAAAAAACATTTTCCCGGGAATATTTGGATCGGGAGATACGCAGCGGGAAATATACATTGGAATATATCAATTCTATATTCCGATGTTTTCATGTATAATATTTTCAAGATACGATCTTATATATGACTTGCAGAAATAGATAGGAAGTAATCGTGATTAGATAATTGAATTATGGGAGTAGTGAAGTCAATGATTAAATGAATAAGAGCAAATGTTTTTAATTTGAACAGGTCATTCATCAAATGACACAAAAGATTAACTTAAAATAGATTGTCTATCTATATATTTTTATGCATGAGAGACATGTTATAATGTTGGTGAACCAATGATTATGATAATTTCACCTGTTCACATGCAGTTCCCATTATGATTGAAAAATGACCGGGAGTAATTCTCTTCAATTTATTTACTCATTATGAACAGAAATTTAATATTTAAATCGCTTAGAAGGCGTAGATAAATGTCAATTTGACGTTCAATAAAAAATCCGTCAGTAATTTACTGATAATTTGCACATTTGAAGAGGTAAACCTTACAGCAATCAACCGAGGATTTACATGTAAACTCAATTGCATTTGTTTTTCGCGGGAAAAAGTTTCTCCCATTGACGTCACAGATTTTTAAGCGGCTCATTATAATATTCATGAGCTGACTTTATGGAAAGGTGAATAGAGAGATTCCACAACTCACTTTCAGCATATTTATTATTTCCATATAACCATGGGCTTTCAAGAGAGCCCATGATATATAACGTATGAAGCGTTTGATTACGTCATCATCAGCAACCAGAGATCAGCAAATCGCAAAATCAGATATAATCAAAGCTTCATAAGTTATACATTATAATTAAGTAATAAACATGCTATTTCGCCAGTTGCAAAATCTCTCTAGTTATTGTTACAATTGAAACCAAAGATGCCTAACATTTGATTGATATTTTGCAAGGATTGGTGTTCATATATGTTACATACAGGCCCGTAGCCAGGGGGGTTCAGGCGAACCCCCCCCCCCCCCCTGGCCAAAATTTCTTTCAAAACCATGCAGTTTTTCACCATTCTGACTATTTTTTGAGTGATTTTTGGCCAAATTTGCCAAAGTAAACCCCCCCCCTAGAATGTTTTGGAAAAGCGAACCCCCCCTTGAAAAATTCTGGCTACGGGCCTGACATATATAGGTAGTTAATAACTGTGACATTTGAGTTAATATAAATTGCTCCAACATAATTTTCTAATCACAGTTTTTGCGTGATCATTAACATGGGAATTTTGCACACCAGGTAATAATGTTCTTGCTATATATTTAGTGTCTATGGATATTATCATGGGCTTTTTGAGTACAAACTAGAAAAAGGCAACTCCACGGAGTAGCAAATCCCAACGAACATCATATAAATCTGTACAGTCACAATGTAACATTTACCATCTACTATTTGAGATCATTGAAGTATCATGTAAACCTACTTTAACATACTCTAAAATTCCTTCAATTTGAGTATAATATAGCCATACTTTCAAGAGATCAGAAAATAATTGCGAATTCCCACATTAGGGAGCCATTTTGAATTTTACGAGGCCCAAATCAGAAAAACAATACAATATTAGCACTCTACTCTAAATTGCCTTTCATTTGAGTATAATAAAGCTATACTTCAAAAACATCTCAAAATTAATGCCAATTTCTGTTTTCCTGACCCCCATTCACTGCCCCTGGGAGTCATACCCTTTGCATTCATTTGACTTCACTTCTTAAGAGAGCTTTGTCTTCACTTTTTCAGTTTACAATAAATCTCTGATCTTACCGAGCTAATCAGAATTTGTCGTCGAAATACAGACAAATTTCTATATGGTCATTTACTATGACATCACCGCATAGTTAATGAGCCTATATTTAGCATGTGTTCCTTCCACTTCGCTGATTGGTAGAGAAAGGGTCAGCGTGGTAGATTTGAAATGATTTATTACCTGGGCTGTGACAGGCACCAATCTTTGGGGCAGGGCTGCTAAACTGTAATATAGTCTATACTTGGCAAAGGGTAGTTAACTAGACTCTGCGCGCAGGGTAGGGGGTCAGGGTGAAAAACATGGAATATATGTGAAATAGATAGATGATTTGAATATACTATCAAAATTTCAAATAACAATATTTATTATTATGGTTTAAAATGAAAAACATAAGATTTCTGCAAAAAATTCCCGCCATTTTTAAGGCTTAAAACTATTCACCAATATACATCTTTCCACCAAATATGAAGAAAACTGTCAGGTATTAGTATTTGAGTTATCTTCCGGACGGACTGATGGACGGACAGACTGACGGAGGGCTTCACTACAGTATATCCCTACTGAACTTCGTTTGTTGGGATAATAAGCACAGGTATCAGGCCCGTAGCCAAGGGGGGTTCGCAGGGTTCGGGCGAACCCCCCCCCTGGCCAAAAATTCTTTCAAAATCATGCAGTTTTTCACCATTTTGAGCACTTCTCAAGTGATTTTAGCCATATTTGGGCCAAAATTGTCAAATGTGAACCCCCCCCTGGAAATTTTTGAAAACTGAACCCCCCCTTGGCAAATCCTGGCTACGGGCCTGGGTATGACACTCCCCCTGTGGGACATCTTTCCTCTTATTCAGTATGTACCTCAGCTCAGAAATCATCATTTGTTGTTTAATTGAATGGCTTAATTGCTAAGACTCATATTGTTCAGTATATGAACTATAAATGCTGATAGTCAACTCAGATTTTAAGTTGAATATCCAAATGCCTCAATGGGAGACATTTGTATATATGTAACTTAAGGGTGTGTGGCTTAAATTTAATATTTTCTTGTGCCTACCCCCTCCCTACTGTATCCCAGATTTATTAGAACCTTAAACCCATGGTAAAAGGTGGCTGATTACAAAGATTTCACCAATATTTTGGTCTGCCATGTCTGAATAACCACTACATTATTAAGAGATGTCCTTGGATGAAGGTTATGGTCAGGGTGCATGTTTGGAATTTTGCTGCAACCCTCGATAGGGTCACATGTTATTTTTCAAATTTGAATCACTCCTTCCCCACAATGTCTACATCTCTCACCTTTGCACAATGAGTGCACTAATGTACCTAGAAAAGAATGTAAAGAAGAATGTTTTGATAAAATGTATAAAAAAGAAAATAGAATTTTCTCGTTTTTTATACATTCTACAAAACAAATCTTCTCACCAGTCTTTTCTAGGCACATAAGTGCACTCTTTGTGCAAAACTGGAAGATGTAGACAAAGTGTAGAAGGAATGATTACTGTTAGAAAAATTAAATGTGACTCAATTGAGGAATGCAGGAAAATTCCAAACATGCACCCTGGCCTTAAGTGCCGGCAAAAAGGAACAGTCTACTAAAATCAAGAGCAGCATACTACAACACTTGAAACTAGCTCCTGTGATTAAACCAACCAACACTAGAGACCACTTCATTGACACTCCGACCCTGAGTTGACACCCGCAACTATATATATACATGGGCGTAGCCACAGGGTAGGTATGATTGCGAACGAAAAAAGCAATTTCGTAAAATTTGTTGAAAAACAAATTATAGCTTGAAATGCTTAGAATGCACCTTGTATAATGTAAATTTTTTTAATTTCCAGTGAATCCCCAAACCCTCTTTTTGGGGCTTGCTTCGCTCCCCGCTTCGCTCGCATTGATGCAAACCCCAAAAATTGCACCCCTTTGACAATTGATGGCTACTCTCGAGTTCAACAAGTTAAACCCAATACCACGGCTTTTATTTATTAATCTGAATGTTAATGTTGTCGTTATTGGGTTTAACTTCCGTGCTATGCTTTCATTGGTTGCAAATTCTCACTATCAATTATTAATAAGACGCACATGGAATTCCATGCGCTGCTATAGGCCACCATTAAATTTTTTGCATCAAGGGCAGAATAGGCACGGACGTTAAACCTAGGGCAGTCCACAAGATATGTCAGATAAGAAATAAGGCCCAGACTAGGTTTAACTTGTTGAACTACCTTGGTACATGTACTTGATATGACCTAAATGTACTCGCTGCACTGGCAATATTGGTAGAATCCTTTAGTCAACTGGTAAACCAGTCTATGGGGGCCCAAACTATACCCTTGGTGTAACAACCTTCATACTTTCACTGTGCAAAATAAAATTACTAGTTTTGTGAGATTCAAATTGCTCTCTGGGTCTAACATCCATTTGTAAACATAAAACCTGTTTTTTTATTTATTTAGCATGCCATGAGTTTTACAGATCTACAGTCAGTGAAATGCGTGTAAACTAATAGTACATGTTCGAAAGAGAAATGCACAAAACCTAGCTAGGTATCCTCGTTTATAGCTTAACGAATAGTCCATAACAAAAAGTAGATTCACTCACATGTTGAGCAGTATTTCAAGAAGAAATCTTGTCTTACCTTTTCACTTCAGCGTAAGTTTCTGGACTGTACTTTTATGTTTGCTGGTGACGTCACTGTTTACTTATATTTTGACAAAGTGCAATTTGCAGTGATGTTAAATGACAAACTACTGCCAGATTTGCAGAAATTGTGCTGTCTTGTCTTTTGTATTTACATAAGAAATATTTATGCTTGTTTGTTTGTTTAACATCTTTAAAAGAGTGAAACAGTATTTGTTTACCTCAAGTCACGTGATAGTCATGTGACCTAAAATGTCGGACATTTAAATTTTGGAATTATTTGTGAATTTTACTTTATTTTGTAATTTAGTGCATTTGATGAGCTTATTATATAAAAGAGGTACGTATTTTCATTGAAACTTGTAGTGTTCAAAAGTAATCAATTAGTCTAGAGATGAGACAACTGTCTAATTCTACACTATACTGATAAGTATACTGTATCATGTGCCACACCTTCAAGAAATTTTTTAAAATTGGGATATTCAGTCTATTGGATATAGACTATGGATACCCCCATAAAAGTGGGGTTGATTTATCAAATCACCCCCACAACTACTAATTGTGTATTGAAATCGAATGCCAAAAAAAACATAGTTGGTTCCGGATTTTCACACGAATAGAGAGTAGAGACCCTATCTGTTGCTAGACTTATGCCTGGCATAACCGTCACAATGTAATAGGTGTTTTTAAGTTCCGCAAGCAACCCTGTCAACACTCACGCATTAAGCGTGATTATCACGCATTTGCTGGAAAAATAGAAATCACACATCAATTTAGCGTGTACGCATTTTGTTGATATTTTTAAAAAACATTTTTTATAATATGTGAAAAAAACGCATTTCGTTCGGCTTTTGCACGCGATTGCCGGACTTGTGAAATGCAAGCGTTAGCAAGCGGGAAAAATTTTAGGGAGTCCAAAATTGACCAGTCACGCATATTTTGGATTTATATTTCTGACCTATCCAGAAAGTGGTAAACACATCATCTGCCCTGTCAACCCTCACACATTAGGCGTGATTGTCACGCATTTGCTGGAAAAATAGAAATCACGCATCAATTTAGCGTGTATGATCAAATATCACGCAAATCACGCATTTTGTTGATATTTTTAAAAATCGTGTTTTGTGAAATGCCGACACGGTAAAATACCGAAAAAAGGTGAACGCATTCCGTTCGGTCTTTGCACGCGATTGCCATTTATGTCACGCATTTGGTACAAAATATGTGTATACATCACACATTTGTTTCGAAAATATTTACACCTACCCCCAAACCCCCTGAATGCTCGTTTTTGATTCAATCAACTCTTGTTCCTGCAGTGGTGGCATACTACTTAGAAAATTAGTGCTACGCCCATGCACATAAAATCGAAAGGGATTTTAACAGGCCTTTGTTGAAAAAATTTCTAGATTTTTGCCCATAAATGTTCCAAATGAACGAAATTGGTAAAAAATTTGGATATTTCACTTGTCTTATGATTTTCCCCTTGCAATTGTTTGGCAAAGGTAAAACTTAAAATTCCAGCAAACTGGCAAAAGTTAATAGAATAAAGCAAATTTTAAGCAAATTTAACAGAATTGAAGCAAATTTGGCAAAAAGATACATGTAGGTATCGATATGGAGAACTGAATTCAACAATGTTTTTCTCTTAAACCAATCATTGAAAACATTCTGTAAAAATCATGGTATTTTATGTAATGTTGACTGATTGACAACAATTTAATGCGAAAATTATTTAGAAATATTTTATATAACTGTTTTTGTTAACATTTTTTTTTTAAGTGCAATTGTTTTTACTCGTTTCTACCAATTCTTGGGAATGATATAAAATGTCTTTCAGAACCTTGTTAGAACAAAATACATGTAGCATATACAACATGTTTTTAGACCTCTCAATATTATACAAAGGAATTTATGGTTGATTTTAAAAAGTATTCAAAAAATTAAAACAAAATCCCCCAAAAATAGATAAAAATCTAAACATGTTTATGTCGTTTTGTCCCAATGAGGTTCGCAAAGATGTTTCATTTCACTCTGGAAACATGATACCAAGAACAAAACAAGTGTTTCATGTGTTTTTTAAAACAATATAGATGAAAGTATGTATATCTATTTCAAATTATATTGTTACCATTCAAAAGATGGCCATTAAATTGACAATTTGTAAGATTTTCAAAAATTTTTGATGACTGGTTTAAGAGAAACGTGTGTTCAAAAAGTTCGCCATATCGATACCCATTCTTTAAGCAAATTAGGCAGAGATTAAACAATTTTCACCAAATTTACCGTAAGATGGCTTTAAAAGAAATTTTGCCAAAAATATTCGAACCCCCTCCTGTCAAATCCTGGCTACACCACTGGACGTTATGAACTTCATCTTCTTTTTCTACAGCTACATGTAATGCAATGGTTCTAGGTTTACCACTATTACCTTTTTTCAAACGGCCACTTTCTACCCTTTGCATTCGTTCGACTTCACTTCTTAAAAGAGAGCTCCGTCTTCACTCTTTCAAACTAAAATAAACCTGTGAACTCACCCTGCCAATCAGTGCTCGTCGGCCAAATTTGACCGAAGTTCTATATATGGTCATTCCTTCTGACGTCATCGTTAAGCCCGGAATTGACAAATGATAATTCAAAATTTATTTTGGCGTGTGTTTCTTCAAGCTCGCTGATTGGTGGAAGAAAGGTCAGCGCGTAGGTCAGAAGTGATTTATTATCCGAACTGTCACCAGTACCCGTCGTGGGGGTGGGCCGGTGGGGCTACTAAATTGTATTATGGCTTCTACTAGGCAGAGTGTAGTTTAACTAGACTCTGCACGCAGGGTAGCCACTTTCCTAATACATGTATGCATGGGCTTTCAACTCTGATTGAAAGCCCATGATATATGTAATACTTTTACCTTAGTCGAATCTTAACCTTTTCTCTATGTTCTCCCCTGGCATCTGCAGTGTATCCAAACTTTGAATTTAATCAGTGCCATTTGGATTCTTGGTTTGGGTCATGGTGTAAGGAGTCCTTGGATGTACAATTGTATATTTATGGCAACACAGGAATTTAACAAAATATGAACCTCAAAACTAATTTATTTCTGTTATGTTAAACCTGTCACATATAAATAGGTTTATTCAAACACATACAGATGTGTCTTCTTTTCTGTTGCAGAGAACTAACATCTTGAACTGTCAACTTTTGTCAGCTGACATCTACAAGCACCTAGATATTGACATCATTATGTCAGCCTCAAGAGCAGAGCGGATCGCAAAAGTTAAAAAACATTTTAAAACTTTCCCCGATTGGCCAAAACCTGGCATCATGTTTAGGTATGTGTGAATTTTGATGTAGATGTATTTGAGACTATGAATGAAGAAAATAGATGAAGAGTAAATCAGACAGAGCCAAGTACCATAAAAAATAAATAAGATGTAGCATTTAATAGTATGACATATATTGATTAATAAATTAATCGGACTGAATTGTATGTACAAACACATGTATTTTCAATTTGATAACCCTTGTGAATCATGAACTAGCACAGATAAGTAAGATTTATTATTTCTTTCAGAGATATGTTTCCTGTCTTCCGAAGTCCAGAAATAGTTGCGGAGATAACATCACTGTTTGAAGAAATCGTTAGAGAAACTTGCTCAAAAGTAGATGTCATAGTTGGATTAGATGCGAGGGGATTTTTATTTGGCCCCTTATTGGCCCAGCGTCTTGGAACCTCATTTGTGCCTGTGAGAAAACGAGGAAAACTCCCAGGGCCCACCATTAAGGAGACATACGTTCTGGAATATGGAGAGGTATTATTATTATTATTTTATGGTAATAAACTAGACTGCCATTTATTGACCATTTTTATATTTCAATGCTGCCTCAGTACACTGTGAATTCAAATCCAGACTACTTTCCTTTTTTGCAGTGGCTTTGCTCTAGCATTATCAGCCACTTTTCGGGACCACTTCATCATCTCAAAACTGTTTTCATCCTCGCAAATCACAAAACGTTTGTATATTTAAGATAAATTAGTTCTTTGTGCAATAAACTTGAGGCCTTTTGTAATTGAGAAATTTCAGCCAAGTTAATTTTTCTGAAAATGACATGTCAGAGAAGCATCAAATTCAGGAGCCACACATTTAATTAGCCAAACCACAACCAATCCGAGAGATACAAACATTTTGTGTTTAAAATATGATTGTATTTTTCTAATATTGCAGTATCGGGTCTCTTGATTGCTTATTTTTGGGTGTTTTATTGACACTCTACACAATTAAAATGGCCAATATTCATATTTTGTACCTCAGATGGCTTGGTATGATATAACAGAAAAAGTAAAAAAGAATAAGCCACACACACCTTTTCAGCCAATTCATTACATAATCGGTTTAAAGCACATAAACGTAATACGATAATAATAGGATAATCTTACAATTTTAACTTGCATGAACTTTTTGTCCTTTTACGTACTAAAACCTGCCAGCTTATTGCCAAGGTCACAACTATTATCGCAGTAAATGGGAGTTGTTTAAATGTAGGGGATTATGAATCACTCTAGCATTTTTGTACTAAAATCTGCCAGGTTATTGCCAAGGTCACCACTATTATTGCAGTAAATGGGCTATGAATCACTCTAGCATTTTTAGCTAGTGTATTAAGTGTATAAAGTGCACTTTCACTTGGACATACAATCCCAAATCTGATGGAAAGGGGCACAGAGTTATTTACTTACATCATAGCCCATGCTTACATGAATGATGGAAATGTTGATCAAATTTTGTGGGTGATCATACTTTTAAAACAGTGTATTAGAGGCCCAATGTAAAATGATGGTAATGTTTATTAAGTTGGTTGGTGGAAATCAAGAGTAAGTGGTGCAATTAATTTTTTTGGAATGGTAGCATCACTACTTAATATTGCCTCATAGAGAACAGAATACATCTGTATTTGAAGTTTCAAAAATGTGACTTCTTAAAGGAGAAATAGTCAAATGAAAAGTGCACAATAAAAGTACAGCAATGAAAATGTAGATGTGCATGATGAACATTATTCTTTTGTTACTTTCACGAATATGATTACCAATAATTAGTGAATTAGGTAAAATTTTAATATTTTAAATGAATATTCACATGGTATGGTAGAGAACATTGTTTAAAATTTAAGTTCTTTTATTTAAAATTGAAAGTCCTAATTTTTTTATTTTCCAGAAAAAGTCAAAACATGGAATGAGAAAAAACAATCTGGATTCATCTTCTGGTCCCTTTGCTTTGAATAATGTAGTATGAACATTAGGATGACAATGACCTAAAGATGATGTAATGCTAGTACTCCTCTTGTATTTTATTGTATTTTATTGAATTGTAATGTGTTTGTTTCATTGTACTGTTTTGTGCCCGCAACGACATTATAAGTTATTGAATGATTTGAAGTGCAATACAGGATATATTCTGCTCGAGAAATTCCGTATTGGAGCGAGACGAAGTCGAGTACCAATACAGAATATCGAGACAGAATATATCCTGTATTGCACTTCATATCATTCAATAACGTTTTTATCGTGTGATCCTCTGTATTGCTACTGAGATTGTCCCCTCCGTACAAATATTTTCTGTATTGCTACGGAGCTGATCAACGGGGACAATCTCAGTAGCAATACAGATTGGTACAGCACAAGAACTGACCAATCAGAGGGCTTCATTTTACGGATCATACGATAATGTGTTATATTGTTCCATGTTGTGTTTCATTGTATTGTAAAGCACTCATGGCCTTGTGTTTTTATGTTTTTTTTTATTGAGTTGTGTTTTGTTGTATAATTCAGGACTGCTTTGAAATGCAAGAGGGTTCCATCTTGCCTGGAGAGAATGCACTTATCATTGATGACTTGATAGCAACTGGGGGTAAGAACTGCTTCACATTAATTTAGTAGTTTTGTACCAAGGCCTCTCTCTACTCTTTACAATAATTTGAGATATGCCCAATGCTTTGGTTGAGCCAATATCCAGATAGAAAATCATAACAATACTGTATATTTCTTAGCTTTAACATTCATTCTTCATTCAATCTCCTACAGAAGGAGATGAAGTTTGCATTTGAGATGGGTAAGATTCAAACTGTAATATTACTTGCAATTCATTGAGGAAGATTTCAAAATATTGATGGCATAATGATAAAGAAAAATTATTAACATTTTGTACCTCAAGGTTGAATTTTTGAAACTTTCCCTTCGTCTGTTTGTCCTGGTTGCCTGTTGCCCCCCCCCCCCTCCCCCTCCGGCTATGGGTCTGTACCTGCCCGCTGCCTGCATGCCTGCCAGTTTGCTCATTCATCTGTCTGGGTGATACCCCCAAACCAACCTATAACTAGAATGTGCACAATGTGTAAAAAAGAGTATAAATAATTTACTTTATTTCCAGGGACGATGAATGCAGCCTGTTCATTGGTTAAAAAGCAGCAAGGAAATGTGGTGCTCTGTTTAGTCCTCATAGAACTTGTTGACTTGAAAGGTAGAGACAAAGTACCTGCAAAATTGTTGTCCCTTGTGGAGTATGAAGGAGAATAACTCCTGTATAAACAATAGCTGGATTTCATGAAGAAAAGTGACATGAGGAATAAGTCACTATTAAAAGCATTCCAGGAAATTTTGGACACTAGAACTACAATAGTAACATTACAGTAATGCGATAAGTCAATATTAAAAGCATTCCAGGAAATTTTGGACACTAGAACTACAATAGTAACATTACAGTAATTCGATAAGTCAATATTAAAAGCATTCCAGGAAATTTTGGACACTAGAACTACAATAGTAACATTACAGTAATGCGATAAGTCAATATTAAAAGCATTCCAGGAAATTTTGGACACTAGAACTACAATAGTAACATTACAGTAATGCGATAAGTCAATATTAAAAGCATTCCAGGAAATTTTGGACACTAGAACTACAATAGTAACATTACAGTAATTCGATAAGTCAATATTAAAAGCATTCCAGGAAATTTTGGACACTAGAACTACAATAGTAACATTACAGTAATGCGATAAGTCAATATTAAAAGCATTCCAGGAAATTTTGGACACTAGAACTACAATAGTAACATTACAGTAATGCGATAAGTCAATATTAAAAGCATTCCAGGAAATTTTGGACACTAGAACTACAATAGTAACATTACAGTAATTCGATAAGTCAATATTAAAAGCATTCCAGGAAATTTTGGACACTAGAACTACAATAGTAACATTACAGTAATGCGATAAGTCAATATTAAAAGCATTCCAGGAAATTTTGGACACTAGAACTACAATAGTAACATTACAGTAATGCGATAAGTCAATATTAAAAGCATTCCAGGAAATTTTGGACACTAGAACTACAATAGTAACATTACAGTAATTCGATAAGTCAATATTAAAAGCATTCCAGGAAATTTTGGACACTAGAACTACAATAGTAACATTACAGTAATGCGATAAGTCAATATTAAAAGCATTCCAGGAAATTTTGGACACTAGAACTACAATAGTAACATTACAGTAATGCGATAAGTCAATATTAAAAGCATTCCAGGAAATTTTGGACACTAGAACTACAATAGTAACATTACAGTAATGCGATAAGTCAATATTAAAAGCATTCCAGGAAATTTTGGACACTAGAACTACAATAGTAACATTACAGTAATGCGATAAGTCAATATTAAAAGCATTCCAGGAAATTTTGGACACTAGAACTACAATAGTAACATTACAGTAATGCGATAAGTCAATATTAAAAGCATTCCAGGAAATTTTGGACACTAGAACTACAATAGTAACATTACAGTAATTCGATAAGTCAATATTAAAAGCATTCCAGGAAATTTTGGACACTAGAACTACAATAGTAACATTACAGTAATTCGATAAGTCAATATTAAAAGCATTCCAGGAAATTTTGGACACTAGAACTACAATAGTAACATTACAGTAATTCGATAAGTCAATATTAAAAGCATTCCAGGAAATTTTGGACACTAGAACTACAATAGTAACATTACAGTAATTCGATAAGTCAATATTAAAAGCATTCCAGGAAATTTTGGACACTAGAACTACAATAGTAACATTACAGTAATGCGATAGTTTCTTTTTATGAATTGGAATGGGCAATGATTGTAAAGAATAGGACACTCCAACATATAAGTTACAACTAAAAGGGGAACTTATATCTTGGGGTTATCTCTTTTACAAAGTGAAACACTCATGTTCCTGAAGCTTTAGTCTTAAGCTTTAGAACGTTAAAATCCGCCAAATTACATGTAAGTCGCCTTCAAATTGAAATATCATATTTCAATCATAAATATGTATAGTCAGTACATTTTAATATTGCAAGTCTGCCAAATTAAGTAGCTGCCAAATGTTCAAAACAGGGAATCCTCCAAAATAAGTCCTGCCAAATTAAATAGAATTACAGTATAAAGGAAAAGTCCTGAATGTGGGTAGATATCATTGTTTTAAAGCAAAAGATTCTTATTTCATCTATGGTTATTATCTACTGTGCAATAAGTACTGTGCAAAAAATGAGGGTGCATATATTTTTCAATGAATCTAGTATTGGATTCCTTTAAAAGATGGCATCCTTGTATAGCGAGTACATGTCTATACAATAAGTTATTCTGGAAAACTCTTTTAGTTCAGTTTACATAGTGCCATAACATTGTGCCATGATTATGCCAGTTAGTGGAATGACAGAGTTCATATACTTATTTGTGTTATTTTTAAAGTATGTAAACTGATATCACAAAGTATAATAGTGATTAGATAATCTTCCTGTCCATCTATAAGTTCATTTCCTCTTTGAAGCTTTTTTACTTTCATTTTTTATTTCAAAAATAACATATGCAATACAATATTAGGCAAGGCTATACGCTTACATTTTGTAAAATGTATATGGTTTAGATGTTTTAACTGGAGCCTTTTCAGTGAAATATCCCAACCTATTTTTTATTTTTTACTTAAAATGGTATCACTGTTTCATGATGTATTCTATCATCCAATTTTGTTTTTAATTATATTTTTGAGCTATAATATTTTATTTAGCTGCTTTTTGAGTGATGCTCAATAAATGACCAATAAATAAATCAGGCACTCTATGCCTTTTAGGAGGAGAACAAGTTGTGCTCAAAAGTCAATTTTTAAAATGCCCTTTGATTTTAAGGTTTCCATTGGTGTCAATTCTTCATTATTTTGTCAGAGTTTATAAAACAATTATGTTATTTGAGTTTTATCACAAAAGTACTTATGATGTTGATATTGTCCAAAAATGATGGCAGTTATCATTATCAAACTGTCCCAGTGTGAGTTTCCAGGAAAGTTTCCATGACAACATAGACAACACAGATTCAAACTTATTAAGTTACACATTATACTAAAGACACATTATACTAAATTAGACTTATGATGTTTGATATGTTATATTTTATGTTTTTATTTTTCAATCTGGTAAAGTCTGTTTATCAAATATGAATAATATAATAACTCATTAGATACCATAACCAGTAGGTGTTAATTATCAATGTTTGTCTAAAAAACAACAACATTGGGTTGCCTAGTCGATAGGGAGGCTAAGCTATATGTTTTTTAAAACGTGTACATGAACGTGAAGAATTATGGTCCTCTGGGGACTCGAAGAACTACATGTAGTCTTCCCCTTCGAAGTATTTACTTGGCCGATTGAGTATACACGTATATGGAAAATACTTGTAATAAAGTCCCTCGAAAAATCAATTGAATGGTAGACGGTAATATACGTGAATATTAAATGTTCACATATTACTATATAAGTTTTTAAAACGTGTAGCTTAACCTCCCTAACATTTGATCAAGGTACATAGTGTTAAAAACGCAACCCAAAGAAATCCTATATCTTGTGGAAAATACTAATTCAATTATGTTCATTTTTAAGGAAAAGAAAGAGGAGACTGTTTATGTATAGCTCCTGTTGCTAGTTAGTTGTAAAACATGATGTCTTGGACACCTGCTCAAAAGACAGTTGAACTAGGAAAATATGAAAAACGCGAATGGAAAATCACTATATCTTGGGAAATACTAATTCAATTATGTTCATTTTTTCAGGAAAAGAAATAAGAGACTGTGTATGTATAGCTCCTGTTGCTAGTTAGTTTTAAAACATGATGTCTTGGACACCTGCTCAAAAGACAGTTGAACTAGGAAAATATGAAAAACGCAGCTCGTCAAATTTGGCAAAAATCATCTTCATTCACTGTATGGTAAATCTGTAGAGTGAAATCAAAATCACTCTACAGATTTACCATACAGTGAATGAAGATAATTTTTGCCAAATTTGAAGAGCCAAAACACTATGGTTAGGAAGTTTTTGGTTTTTTCGTTTGCAGTCACCTCTGACTGTGTTTCCCGTATTTCCCTAGTACAAATGTCTTTTGAGCAGGTGTCCAAGGCATCATGTTTTACAACTATCCATCTACAGGAGCTATACATACAGTCTCTTCTTTCTTTCCTGAAAAAATGAACATAATTGAACGAGTATTTTCAAGATATAGCAATTTCTTTGGGTTGCATTTTTTGGAACACCCTGTATATGGAAAATATCTGAAATAGAGTCTCCGAAAAAATGAATTGCCGGAGAGCGGTGGTCAAACCCTCCATTTAAAATAATGATAAGTTCACGTACTTGTTCTTAAAAACGCATGCCTTAATCTCCCTTGTGTTAAAACTGCGTTATTTTGACAGTGTGAGAAAAACTGATGTTCACCTATTAGTATGGGTAAATCATATTACGTGTAATTAAGTACGTATAAGGAAACGCGCCATTTACATCACTTTTATAATTACTTGTTTTATAGCATTCCTTATGCATGTAGTTTTAACATTCTTGGCGGCTTTCAAAATATTATTGTTCTTCTGTAAAAGTAATTCTCGTCGGTCGTAAAAATAAAAGTATATTTAAGTCTGCTATTCGTAGGTAGGATCTTCAAATTTTCAAAAGCCAGCTACAGGTAACAAATGTTTTCTGAAAAAATCAGCAAAATTGATAAACAAGAGGCCAGACTAAGAACCGGCAACACATTTACGTTTCCATTTCCATCCCCTTTTCACAGTGGTGAGTGACTACTTTATTTATAAAAAACAGACACATATAGTGGACACCGTAGCGATTCCTTGGTTTGCATTTTTGAGTTTGCTTAAAAAAGATGCAACGATTTATTGTTTCAATTCTTGCTACTGGTTACTGTAGCAACCGCGTCACCCACGTCTCAACAAGTTGACGTAAGATTCCAGATAACACAGCTTCGACTTCCAAGGTGTTATAACAACTGAAACCTTGTGAATCAAGATGAAGTTAACTAAGGTGAGTTTACTCGAGTTTAAGCTGATTAAAATCTTATTCGAACATGACTGTATTCACGCCTTCTATAAACTGTAAACAAAGTCAACATTTCACCCGGTGTATATTCGCGAAGAATACCCCTGGAAATACGTGTAATGTGTGACGCCATAACGGCGGGTCATAGTAATGGCGGACCATAATGAATATTCGAAACATTTTGGTGAGTTTTCATGTTCGAATCGTATAGGTAATATAGACCTCATAGCAGGGGTAATATCGTTGAATACACTCCCTTGGCCTAGGGCTAAGAGGATTAACGTCAGTCCTGCAGTCTTTTTTGATTAGAAATTAATCCATTGGCCACATGGGTCATACACGCGCTAAATGGCTTTGACTTATTGTAACTGTATTCTTATATACTAGTAGAAACAGTGCAATCAATGTAAATGTTTTGCTTGCGGGTCTAAGGTGAGATTGTGATAAAAAAAAACAGCAAAGAACAGAAAGTGAAAAATGTTGAATGCATAATTTCTAATTTTGTTATCTGAAAAAATAAGTTGAGATATCTGAACAGAATTTCGTTCATGTGTGAGGAGTCTTTGAAATAAAAAAAAAAGTTCCCATTTTTATTTTAAAATGATCGGACTGACATACAAAGCAAAACCAAGCGCATTTGCGAAAAGAATTTGTTTGGTTTTTTTGTAGCCTAATAGTCCATGCTATGAAATCTGTACGACGTCTAATAAAGGAGCTGGTAGCACACTATCACTGGTGATCCACTCGATTACGCTGGTTACCGAAACGGTTCGTTTTGGTAACAAAATGTCGGAACGTCGAAGGTACGATTTTTCTTTTTTCCTTATTTCACGCGTTGTAGGCAGAATCTCCACGACGTTTTTTCTCACAAACGTATATCAGTATCATATGTTTTAGAAAATGTTCATGTTTGCGAAAAAATAGCTCAGAAGACAACAGAATCGTCGATTTAATCCCTCACTTTAGTTACATAATTTTTTTAGCACAATTGGTGAAAAGCTAGCTAATGAAATTAACTCGGATAAAGACCCACTTGATAATGTTAATAAAATCGAACTTAATATTAATTCAATTTTCTTGGCACCTGTTGATGTTAATACTGTCCAAAACCAAATCAAGAACTAAAAGGACTCAGCCGCAGCCATTGATGATATTAAACCAAAAGTTGTTAAAGTATTACATGATCATATAGCTGATCCTCTTACTTTCATTTATAACCTCTCTATGACCACAGGTATTTTTCCTGAAGAACTTAAACTTGCTAAAGTTATTCCAATTTTCAAAAAGGGGGAACATGATAAATTCACAAACTATAGACCAATATCTATTTTAAGTGTATTTGCTAAGATGTTTGAAAAAATAATGCATGACAAAGTATCTACTTTTCTAGAGAAATATGAATTATTGTATTTACACCAGTACGGCTTTCGGAAACATAGATCAACTTACATGGCACTCCTAGAATTTATTGAAAATGTCAGACATTCATTAGATAACAAAGAATATTGTATCGGAATATATTTGGATCTATCAAAAGCTTTTGATACTGTTAATCATGCAATATTACTTAAAAAAATGGAACATTATGGTATAAGAGGAATTGCACTTTCATGGTTTTCATCTTATTTATCAAATCGAAAAATGAAAACTGAATACTCTAAAAGTTTATCCGAGAAATATTTGTCTGAAGAAGCAATCGTTAACTGTGGAGTACCCCAAGGGTCTGTTCTAGGCCCCCTCCTATTTATCATATTTGTAAATGATTTCTATCTAGTTTCTGATAAACTCAAACTGGTGATTTATGCGGATGACACTAATATATTATGTAGTGATTCCAATCTTGTTAATTTGACCACAACAGTAAATTCTGAACTGTGTGACATCAATGATTGGTTGTTGGCCAATAAACTCACTTTAAATGTTAAGAAAACAAAATACATGGTCTTTGGAAATAAAAGAAATATATCTGTGAACAATGAAATAAAAATTGCAAATTCTAACCTTGAAAAAGTAGATGAGATAGGATTCCTGGGAGTAATTATTG